CGTGCAGTGGTTATATTCAGAATTTACCAGCATAGAACCTGCATCCGAGATACTTTGTCGTAGCTACGTGCGGGTTTCGGGTTTTTTGCGTAAAAGCGTGTTTTTTCACTGGAGTTCTGAGGCCTGAGATTTTCTTTCAGAGCCATCAAAATCGCTGAGACTGACCACGTCACAGCAAGGTCGCGCGTCCAGTAAGCAGATCGGTTAAAGTGAGTTGCGTGTTTGACATGAGTGGAAAGTCCTCACGCTCGGCTACCGGTACTTCATGTACCGGGACGTCGAGTAAGAGGCAAATCAGGCGCCGTAGGTACCTATATTTTTCTCGGTCTCCCCCGCTGATCGGAGGGCATCCTCACAGTCTGTTTTTTCAGGCGGTGTTTTACCCGATTTTACCGGCTGTGCCCCTGGAGGCTTTCCTCCTATGGCTCCCGTTGCGGGTCTCTTTGTGGACCCTTCCTCGCACGGCGCCTGATTTGCCTCCGAGTTGAGGGCTTTGGTCGAAGGACTGTCGGGGCAATTGCGTCCCTGGCAGGCCGGGTAGATCAGACGCAGTCGGAGCGAGCTGTCTCCACTGTATCCCCTTGGTGGGCAAACAGGAAGAGACATGAAAGCATGTTTGCATTCAATTCAAACACGTCTGTTCCGGGGAACCCCCGTTCCCAGGCACGTCTCTCCCACTATTTTGGGGGGTGGCCGAGGCTCAGGCTAATTGCACCGGTCCTTCTCTGGATCCTCGGGCACTGAATGCCAACGGGGTGCTGGCAGCCAAGTCTCTGATCTCGGGGCAGGGCTTTCAGGGCAGGGCACATGTTGACCCCCCCCCCTACTTTCAGCCAGCTAGGGTTCGTCACGTGGTAACGGTACAACGGTAATGAATTTTTCCTTGTGTCCGGTCCCCGGTGTGGGTTTTGACTTCTTTCTTCCGACCCACGGGCGTCCCCAGAGGGAACCGACCCTGTCATGAGACGCACAGTCACATATTTAAAGTGAAAGGAGATGCAGTTTGCTCCCGTCGGATACAGCCGGTACTCCGGGCGGTCCCTCAGAGTCTTCCATCTATATGACTTGGTGAGCCACGCTTTTGGGGTGAGGCGATCATCGATCATCGATCCCAGTGATACGATGTATATACCCCCACCCTTGATCCTAGAGCGACCACCTAAGGTTGCTTCAACGCTTATGGGATCACAGGCATCGGGATCCAAAGCAATCCCGTCGGCAAGTCTCTCCCTGTCCGCCTGAGTGCGGAGTGGGGCGC